ATATGAGCATTCAATTCTTAAAGGTTTAATTCTATAATCATTTTGTTTAGTTTTGTAAATAAATTTAACACGACTTGTACTGTTTGTCTGAGTGAAAGGAGGGCTGCGGGTTTTCCCTTTCCTTTATTTACACTTTCAAATATGACCGCTTAACAAAAATGCACGGGCTCACTGGCTTACAACCTTGGTTAATTCATATGAAGGCCTGGTCGCAAATCAATCACCCAGATGCATAAAGTAGTTTGCGCGTGTGACGAAACCCCCCTGAAAAGACGACAAATCGATATTTCAAGTAATCGATTTGTTTCAAAAACAAAACATTGTCGCCATTTTCGCATAAGTACAGCAGGTACCAGCCTTGATTTGCGTGTCAAAATCTTTATAACACCCTAAAAGATACCGGATTGTTACCCGATAGATACGACTATCATCCCTTCACCCMGCTCAGGGTGAGAAGACCGGAAGCCATTTAGTCTGCTCTGGGGCGGTCATGATGTAAAACCTTTATGGTTTATGGTACGGCAAAAGCACGACAAAACCAGGTCGACGCAGTTGATTCAAACGTCGAGTTATCGCAGTGGCCGAATTAGTTCAAAAATSGAGGACCTAATTTCTTGTCATTTGATTGATTTAGATSGATTTGGAATCAACGTTGTACMAAATGTATTTGGGTTRCCACAAATTGACTTTTATAGCATCGCTATGAATCGCTGCTAATATTATCCGTCATAACTAGAGGTTCTTCCGGTAATCAAACTGATAAATGACATATCATACAACCTTCATCCAATAATCGATTCAGAAATGCAGTAGTTTGATATAAAAAGAATTTTGAAAAAAAAAAAACAAGAGAAAAACAGCTGAACATTACTAGTATTTGTGGCAACACATACTCATTTTAACTTTTTCATCGATTCATGAATTTATATAATGATTCTCATTTATCGAGTCAGTTGTTATTTATTCCAACTAAAATCACCCATGAAACTTTTGCATAAACTAGCCAATCACATTCAATTTTTTGAACTTTAGAATTACCGGAAGAATTACCCCGAAAATGCTCACATTCTTTATAATTTGTAAAAAGTCATCCAAACCMATGTTCAGACAGGAAAACTTGGATATCTGTCTGTGGGTGGTTTTGTTTTGTGTGTTCCCCTACCACAAATATAATGATTTTCTATTTCTGTTCTACGGAGCATTTAGAGTTAGCGAGTTCCCCGCGAAACAGACAAAAAT